GCCGCAGGGCGCTAGGCAGCGAGCACGCTTCTCAGTTTTCGACAAATCAATCAATCGTCGCTGAATTTAGACGGGCTCTGTGTTTTCAAGCAACGAAAAGGTTAATTTGCAAAAAAGTTTGTTTTAAGCGGTCAAGAAAGTTCCAAGTGAAGAGAAGGTTTGATAGGCCTAGAAAACTTTTACCAGGATCGGTTGGTTCTTCATTTAACGTGCATATGTGCTGATATGTAGTGAAGAATTTAATGTACCGGATGTGCTCATTGTGTTCTGTGAAGACTAAACTCTCAAGGGTACTGAGTCAAAAAGCAATCTTATTATGAGCGATTTCCCGAAACTATACCTGGCAACTTTATGAGCACATCCATGTTGTGAATCGCAATTCGCTCGACTTTCTTGTTGTTGCTGCTTATCTCCTAAATTTTGAATAGGACTCGACTACAACAACACTGTAGTTAATTGCTTGTTTTCACGCCACGATTTTGATTATTCTGTCATTCACACATGGGGCAACGATAAAAGCAAAGCTTTGATTGGAGGAGTCACAGTACCGCAAAGGTGGCGCGAACACTTTCCAGAAAATGAGAGCTGAATTATAATTGGCTAATCACGGGAAAGGAATGTAGTTCGGTTTTCAGCAGCCGTTAGTGGGGAGGAGCGTTGCGTGACGACACTAAAAAAGGCTGTGTAGCAGACTAGGTTATGTAGGGCTGTGTAGGGCTGTTTAGGGCTATGTAGGGCTGTGTAGGGCTGTGTAGGGCTATGTAGGGCTGTGTATGGCTGTGTATGGCTATGTATGGCTATGTAGGGCTATATATGGCTATGTAGGGCTATGTATTTCTGTGTATGGCTGTTTATGGCTATGTATGGCTATGTAGGGTTATGTAGGGCTATGTATGGTTATGTAGGGTTATGTAGGGCTGTGTAGGGCTGTTTAGGGCTATGTAGGGCTGTGTAGGGCTGTGTAGGGCTATGTAGGGCTGTGTATGGCTGTGTATGGCTATGTATGGCTATGTAGGGTTATGTAGGTCTGTGTATGGCTGTGTATGGCTATGTATGGCTATGTAGGGCTATGTATGGCTATGTAGGGCTATGTATGGCTATGTAGGGCTATGTAGGGCTATGTATGGTTATGTAGGGCTATGTATGGTTATGTAGGGCTGTGTATGGCTGTGTATGGCGGTGTATGGCTATATAGGGCTATGTAGGGCTATGTATGGTTATGTAGGGCTATGTAGGGCTGTGTAGGGCTGTGTATGGCTATGTAGGGCTATGTATGGCTATATAGGGCTATTTAGGGCTATGTATGGCTATGTAGGGCTATGTATTTCTGTGTATGGCTGTGTATGGCTATGTATGGCTATGTAGGGCTATGTAGGGCTATGTATGGTTATGTAGCGCTATGTAGGGCTGTGTTGGGCTATGTAGGGTTGTGTATGGCTGTGTATGGCTAGGTATGGCTATGTAAGGCTATGTAGGGCTATGTATGGCTATGTAGGGCTATGTATGGCTGTGTATGGCTGTGTAGGGCTGTGTAGGGCTATGTTGGGCTATGTAGGGCTATGTAAAGCTATTGAGAGAAATGTATTCCATATATTAGCTAACGGGGAACCACTATATGATGCTTACACCACGTACCTACCAAGAAATCTGATCTCATATTTTCTTTTTCTGGCGAGAATCATTCATGTCAATGTCAAATGTCTTCCTTCAAGGAAAAAAAGAGATAGATATTGGGGTACTGTTGCTCCCGAGAACGAGGAACATCTTGGTCCCGAAAACTGAGTTCATTACGCCCAAGAATTACGATTTTTTTCTCTCAAAGGACTATTATCTGGCGCTATAAAAAAAGTGTAGCTAACAGATTCAATTCTTGGCACAATGATTGGCCTCGCGTTTAGTATTTTCTTGGACATGAAAATATCGGGGGTGACGCTATGCGGTGGAATGGCGGACTGACGGAATGACGGAATGACGGAACGGAATGATGGAATATATGGAATATTCTAAAATACGGAATATACGGAATACTCTAAAACGCAGAATAAGAGAAAAATCGATTAAAAAGTGTATACATGTATACAGTCGACTCCAATAACTCGAACCCTCGCTACTGACTCGAACCTCGTGCTAACTCGAAGTAATACTAATTTTTTTTTCTCTTCAGATCATTTCTATAAAATTTTACCCTCATTAACTCGAACCATGTTTTATTTCTTTTTTGAGAAAGAACCAAATGTTAAAAAAAGAACTTTGATATTTATTTAAAAACGAACAACATTTGAAACTGTAGCAGTAACAAATACTGACGGTGAATGCTCAGTTAACGCTAGGGACTTACCTTGAAACTTGCTGGGCTCTTTGTCCATGGAACTTTCCTTCCTTCTATTCACCTTTCTTAAAAAAGCTCGCAGTCAAAACAAATTAAAGTGCAAGTCGATTAAGGTAATGGATCAAGGAGACTGGAAAACGGACTTGTTTTCCCTGGATCCTTCCTCGCCAGAACGACCAGCCGAGCAATCTCCTCAAAAATTGGAAGAAGAGATCATTCCTTTGAAGACTTTGAAGACTCTGGAAAATCTAAAGCAAGCTACCGGACAAATTTAGGCACAGGTGTGGCCCCCATTAATTGGTAGTACAATCCTGTCAAGCTTAAGTTTACAATTCTTTCTTTTAGAACAGCCGTTTTATGAAAGTTATCCGACTTTA